CAAATGTGCTAAAAAAATATTGATGTAAGAAAATCAGTTCTCAACAAGCAGAATCTAATAAGCAGAAAGGAAATTTAGACAACTGTATCCAAGCAGTTGGGGTTCTTTCTTAAGTGCTAAGAACAGTCCTCTTAGTATGTGCATGGAAGCTGTGTGGTCTAGGTACTTTGTATATTCCCATTTTTAAAGTATATACTAGCTCAGGAAATAAGAAATAAGGTCTATAAAGAAAATAAACGAAGAAAATTAAGGCTTTTTTTTTTTTTACTCCCTTGAGTAATTTCAAATCTTAATTTATGTTTTCATTCCGTCTTAGGCTACTAGTTTGACATCTAAGAGTAGATAGCGCTTTGTAGGGAAGAAAAATGTGCTTAATTTTAGAAAGGAGAACCCTTCTACATTGTAAACAGAAGAGTATTTGTAGCTAGTGTTGTATGCACCCTAAAATAACCCCATGCTGGTTTGACTGTTTAAAACAGCAATTGACTAAGATTGTAATTTCATTTTCCAGCTAATGGGTCTATTCCTAGCTCAGTTTTCAGACTGTGGTATGTTGTTTAGGGTCAGGGCCCTATGTTAGCAGATCAGTGGTAAGCCCAGGAGCCCATAAACAACTTATAAGGGGTCACTTTCCCAATAGTCTCTCTTTTGGTCTCCATGGAACTTCCCTATTTCCTGGGGCTTTATTTATACCATTTTGAAGCTAGAGTGTTGGATGGATAGAAAGAAAAAAATACAACAGGAGTTTTTGCTCCTCTACTGTAGAGCCTTGGAAACCCTGTGCAGGGTCACTATGAGTCGGAACCAACTCAACGGTACTTAACAACAACAAGAATTGTAGAACCACACAGCTCCTCTGATTAGAGAGAAAGATTCTCCACTGTTTAGTCTGCCTGCTGTGGAATACAGAATCCTGAAGATAAAATCAACTTTCAACAAAATTTCAAAATTTCCAGTCCCCTGGTTATCCAGACAGACACTGAACTAGACACCACTTGTGTGAAGAGACTTGGCAGGTATAATTAAGGTTACAAAGCTACTGACCTTATGTAGGAAGATTATCCTGCATTGTCTGGGTGGGCCTGTGTAATCACATGAGCCCTTAAGAGCAGCGGAGGTGGGCAGAAGTTGGAGAGATTGGATGTATGAAGGATTTGACCTACGATTATTGTCTTTGAAAATAAAGGAGGCCATGAACCAGGGAATGTGGGTAGCTTCTCGAAGGTAAGAATGACTTCTGGCCTACAGCCAATAAGGAAATGGGAACCTCAGGTTTCCAACTGCTTGAAACTAAATTATCCCAAAGCCCTGAATGAGCCTGGAAGCAGATTCTTCTTAGGATATCTAGATAGGAGCTAATGCTGGCAACATCTTAATTTTGGCCTTGTAGGGCCTAGAACGAAGAAACTATAACTGAGTGATACTATAAATTTGTGTTGTTTTAAATCATGGTAGAAAACTACTACTTATAGGCTGCCTTGAACTAAAAATGCAAAAGAATGGGAAGAAAAAACCAATACGATATTTCCCTCGCTCTTCTTATGGTCGGAGAACCCTTTCCTTGTCTTTATGACAAAATTTGAGGCTTCTCCTGGAGCTCTCTGTCCACATCCTGGTGTCCACTTCCAGGTTTCAGCCTGCACTGAACCTGGATTGGGAGATATTGACAGAGGGGACTAGTAAAGTCACTGGTTCTGTGGTTCTTAGAATCCTGATCTTCTTTTCCTGTCCATTTGCTACTTTTTAATGTTCTGCCCTGATTTTATAGCTGTATTCAGTGGGAGAGATACGGTTGTTGATAAGTGCTATCTAGTCAGTTCCAATCCATAACAACCCTGTATAGGGTTTCCGAGAAGCACCTGGTGAGTTTGAATCACTGACCTTGCAGTTCAAACTGACCTTGCGATCCAGCACATTATCCTGCAATGTCATGCCAGGACTCCAATAATAATAATAATATATCTGTATAATTTTTTCTGGTGTGGTGCTGTGGGTTAATGCGCCAGCCTGCAAAGCCGTTTGAACTGTAGGGTCAGCAGTTCAAGCTCACCAGTCACTCCTCGGAAACCCTATATAGGGTTGGAACCGACTCACGCGATGGCACTTAACAACCACATATTTTTTTCAGATTTTCCCCCCTAAGTATTTGAAATTTTAAAAAACAGAAAATGGGTTTGTATTGGTATAAAAATTGCCTTTTTCTTTTCACTTAATGTGTTATGAACACTTTTCCATGTCAGTACAAACAGCGCAATGAATCTCACCTTTTAGCTGTAACTGGTAAGACTTGTGGAAAGCATGGTGGCTCTGTAGGATAGGCACTGAACTGAAAACCACAAGGTTGGCGGTTTGAATCCACCAGCCACTCTGCGGGAGAAGGATGAGACTTTCTGCTCCCCTAAAGGTCTACAGTCTTGGAAAGCCTGTACAGGGTCACTGTGAATCAGAATGGACTCAACAGCATTAACAACAACAACATTAATACTTGCAATATAACTTTATCTTTCATAACGTTTAATCTTTCCATTGATCCTGTAAGGAAAATACTGTTGACTTTCTGTGCCTTAGTTAAGGATGTTGAAGTTCAAAGATATTAAATAATTGGACCAAGCTCACACAGCTTGTAAGTGGTAGAGTTGAGATTCAAACCTAGGTAGATTAGCCTGTTCTCTTATCCACCTGGTCATGCCCCTCCTGGGTACTGTAGTTGTTTGGATATGCATAGATTATGTAGCTGATTCTCTGTTGGTGGACCTTTGGATACGCTCTTATATTTTATTGTTACCAAGAATACCTTATGGAATATGTTTCCCTAAGTCATTGTAGATATTTTTAAATACAGCTGTCTAGAAATCAATTCATTCACATTAAATATATTATTTTCCCAAATTCCTTTCCAAAACGGGGATCTGTTTTGTGTCCCAGCAGCACTCTGAGATTGACAGGTTTTAGAAGGGGCAGTGGAAAATTCCTTCCTTTCATAGGCCACAGATACATTGAAATTGGGTGCTTATAGGTCGTATCTGAGAGTGAAATGAAGCTTTTTTTTTTTTTTTTTTTTTTTTAACTTTTGGGAATTGGATGAAGATTTACAGAGCAGATAATCAGTTTTACATTTCATAAATCCCATGCTTTGCTTCATTACAATGATTGCTGTTCCATCCCTGTAACACCAGTTCACAGTATTTACCTCTGTTCACTTTAATATTACATTGTCCTGTGTCTCCCACTGCCTTCATCATTCCCCTCCTTGTTGTATGTTGCCTGCCCTGTCTGTCACCCATGCTGACATGTGTCTATCCTCTAGCCTGTGAATAATTTCACCCTCCCACACCCAAAACCAGCAAAGATTCTTGTTTTCTTTTTCCCTTTTTCTTTTTCACAGTCCTATGTTTTGCTTCATCTCATTGATAATGCTCTCCTCCCTGTAACAACTATCCTGCTTCTACCATGTGGCTTCCCTTTTACATCTTATTTTTCATAAATGAACAAAGTAAAAATATTTGATGTACACATACAAAACAAAAAATATATGTATTCATTTTAAATGTCCAAAGGGCACATTTTGCAAGCCAGTCTCCTGTCCACAGGTCCACAGGCTTTCTCAGTCCATGGACCTGGAGTCCTCAACTGTTCTGTCTGTCCAGGCCGTTGCCTTGGCCACTGTCTCTACTCTCGCTACTTCTTTGGGTAGGATCTTACGCTCCACTCCATGTTCTTCCTTTTAGATGGTCCTGGGGTCCTCTGTTCCTAAAATGAAAGATTAACTACTCCCCACTTGTAGTTATACATCTTCTACAACTACAGTTGTGACAATCATAATTAATCCTGCTAACGGCTAGTCACAACTGAATCAAAATCCTATCACTACAGTTACCTATCCCCTCTTATAAGATCCATCTGAAATAGAGGAAAACTATTTAATGGGGATTCTCTCTTAACCCCCTTCATTCTGGAACTAAGAGTACTCATGAAAGCTTGTAAGCCAGTTGGTTGGTGTCTTTATGCGCCCCCCCCCCCAATTTTTGATAGCCAATGTCTAAGTTGTCTATCACTGTCAACCCAGTGCACTGAGGAAAGAAGCTTGATCTTTGATTTGAAGAATCCTTCCATTTCAGTTGGAATTTTGAGCAACTGCATCCCTAAGAAAAGGTCCAGTTCTTCAAATTGTAGTGATTTATGCTTGCTCATAGTATCAAACTTTTTAATCTTAATCTCTTCGGGTTCTGGTCAGCTAGCCATCCAACGTAGGTCAAATGGGTATTATCTGCAAGTTTGGAAGTTCTTGCACGCCTATCCACACTTCAGACCAGCTGACCACTTTACTCTTCGCTCTAGCCTCCAGTGGGTAGGTGGTCAGTGTCTATGGGCCCGGGAGTTCAGACATCTCCCTAAACTTCAGACCAGATAGCCCTCCCTCTTCTCTCTCTCAAGATCAACTGGTGTCAGTGGAACAGAGCCAGACTCATCCCATGTCTTCATTGCCACATTTCCTCCACTTTCACTCATAAGTAGACGAGGGTGGTCATCAGCAAGCATACTAGACTGGTTGTGGGTTCCCTTTGAGCTTCAGTCTTAAGGGGTTTTCCTTAATAGCCTGACTTTTCTTGCCTTGATGGCTCCAAGGCAAACAGGTTGCTTGATATTCTAAAACCCAACCTGTTTGCTTTTTTTTTTTGCTAGTCTTTCTTTCAAAACGTATCTTCTATTTTTCTAGCCATTCAGGGTTGGGGTTAGTGTGAATGTTTTTTCCTGTGGGAATGTCCCACCTCAGAGGTGCTGGTTGGGGCTCAGGATTCCACCTAAGGCCCTGTACTCTACAAAGGCTTAACAGGAAGCCTTATTTCCCTGGGCAAATTCTAATTTCCCTTTTAGCTAATCCAGTCAGTTATAGGCTGAGGACGAACTTAACAGAAATGAACATTCTTTCTGTTAGGAAGGGTGAATATTCTGTAAAATGGTTTTTATACATAATTTATGATTCAATTTTTCTTTTTCAGAATTTTGATTCTGACATTAGCAGTGTAGGAATTGATGGCTGCTGGCAGGCAGATAGCCAAAGGCTTCTCAATGAGGTGATGGTGGAACACTTCTTTCGACAAGGAATGCTGGACGTAGCTGAGGAGCTCTGCCAGGTAACGAGTACCATTGGGAAGATATGAACAAGAATCAAAAGAACGCTTTGGCCTTTCCGTCATATGTTATATGCAGAGGGGGTTTTGAGTCTTCTGCTGGCCACAGATAGGTTTTTAAAGTTTCAAATAACCAGGCTGACCTCATTTTACTAGGAAGTTTTGTTTTGTTTTGATGAAAATTATCGTTTTCAGAACTTAACTCAATTGTTCTTTCCTTGTTCCAGTTCATGATTCAAGTGATACCACTGTTTCTGTTTCCTCTTTTAGTAGGGAAGGTGGTTAGTGTGGCAGAGAAAAGAGATAGCAGGGTTCTTATGATCTGGCTCACCTTATAGATGTTTGTTTATCAAATAAATTTCAAGCTAAAATTTACTTCAGGTGAGAAGTGTTTATATTTTATTTGGTTCTGCTGTGGTAAAAAGGAGCCCTGGTGGTGCTTTAGAATAAGCACTGGACTGCTAATGCAGGGTAAACTATTCAAATCCACTAGCCACCAGGACAATCAGCAGTCTCTACCATAAGTTAAAAGGACATTATTTTTAATGGTTTCTCCCCTGTTTTTTAATCTAGAATATGCTTTTACCACTGTCTTTACCTTGATTACTGGTAACAAAAGTTGTTTCTGTTTTTGTTTTTTATTTTTTTTCAGGAATCTGGTCTTTCTGTAGACCCAAGTCAAAAAGAACCATTTGTGGAGCTAAATAGAATATTAGAAGCATTAAAAGTCAGAGTTCTGAGACCTGCTCTCGAGTGAGTTACTGAGTTTATTTTCTTTTGAATACTTTGCGAGAAGTCTTAAGAAAATTTAGTTAAAAAATACATTGGCGATCTCTGGGCATACCAGGAAGCTTCAAAAAGTTTGTGGAAAAATAGAATTAAAAGTGATGGGAGTTTATCTCACTGAGGTAGACTTTAGAGAAATCAAGGGAGAGTTATTTTATTCCTTTTAGATAAGTGAAGTTGGGGGAGGGGTGTAATAGAAGGAACTGGTGAGAGCTTAGTTCGTTTACCTGTTAGTCTGAATTTCCCTGTGTCCAGGATGTACTACTACTTTGCTTAGACTTGCATTATAACTAAAGGACTATTTGCTCTGGAGGTCCTGCTTTGATATTTCAGCTTCCATAGTGGGCTGGGTTTTGTACTAATAACATTCTATAAAAATAAAAAACAATTGGTTACTGGAAGGGAGGAAATACTGTTTTAAGGAACTCTTTCCTCATTATCACTGTAAAATTTGATGATGCATTATAACTCGTTACTGATATGAAGTATCTGAAATTGCTAAGTTAGCTATAAGAAATACTACCCTAGAGCAGGGTCGGCAAATGTCTTTGTAAAAGGCCAGGTAGTAACTATTTTTGTCTTGCAGGCCACATAAGGTCTGTGCTGCATATTGTTCTTTGTATAATTTTACAACCCTGTAAAAACAATTCTTGGCCATCTGCCACACAAAATAGTAGGACATTTTTATCCTGTGTCTTTAGTTTGCTGACCCTTGTCCTAGAATTTTTCTGTGTGAGGATTACCAGGTTAGTTGTAAATAAATGACCCATAAAATAAAGAGAAGAGACTGAGTGATAGAAGCAATTACATTATTGTGAAATCATAGCCTTGGAAGCCTGGTGTTTTAAAAGTGGAAGGACTTAAGATCCATGTTCCCCAGGGGTAGGAGTTGGGATGAACAGGGGGTAGAGTTGGGAAGATTCTTACTGGTTTTATAATGTACATTTCCCTCCTAACTTCTCTTCTACTAATCTATTCAATTTCTTATGGTTTATGTTTGTTTTTTTGTGTGCTGTCAAGTTGATTCCTATTCTTAGTGACTCTGTATACAGTTTCTAAGAGTGGCTTTGAACTGCCAACCTCTACATTTTAAAAACATTATTTTAATTGAAACTTTCATGTGTCCCTATCAGTCATCTGAGTAGGTAATACTTGAGCAAGTTAGAAAAATCAAAAGATACAACAAAGGGTATGGGTGAAAAGTCAGTCTTCTCCCAGCCCTTGCCTCTCGGTCGGCAGTCACCCTTTTCTTGTGCGCCCTTCCAGAGATAGTTCATGACGTTTGCATGCTTATGTGCATTATGCATGAAAGTATTTTAAGTGACTACTTATTAAAGTTTTATTTTATGGAATATTCCTAAATTGCCACGTTGTCTAGCTTTTATAAAATGGTAAATTGCCCCCCATAAAGTTTGTTTCAGAATATAGCCTGCCATTAATAGCAAGGGTAGTTCCGCATCCTCTTTATCACAGTTGATTATTACCACCCCCACCCCACCCCTGTTTTGTTTTGTTTTTTTAAACCTTTGCAAGTCTAATTGCTGTTTAGTGATGGAGAAAGCATGGCAGCTCATATTTTCCATTTGCATTTATCTCTTTAGTGAGGTTGAACCCCATCTCTGTGTTCCCACCTTCATTCTGGTGCTCCTTATCATCTCTGGTCTAAACAGTCGTAGGTAGGAGGGACCAGTACTGAGATGTGCTACCACTTCATCCCACAAAACCATCTCCAGGTGCTTGTGGTGGAAGTATTTCACCACCACATCTAGGAAACTTCATAGCACTTTTTAGGGAAAATATTACAGTTCTCTTTGTAAAAGCTTCAGTAGAATTTCAAAAAGAAATAGAAAAGATCTGAATGGTTAAAAGAGAGAAGTTAGAGACTTTTTCACAAAAGGGAGAAAAAAAAATCTAAGTTTAGAGCACAGAAGTATTATAAAGTGGACAAGCCATCGACAGTGTCATCCAGGCTGCGGGATGATGGCGGCGTCTCCAGGTCTGATGAGTGAATAGGTAGACATGAAAACCTTAAAGGGAATGCCCCACAAGGCTGCCATCATGGTTTCTTGGTGCGTGTGATCAGTTGTCCTAAGGGTAGAATAAAACAATTTCGAAGTGGAAAAAAGTTCTAGAAAATGAAAATAGTAGAAGCAAACAGAAACGGCTGATCATGAAGAATTAACTCTCCTTGGAAATGACGGTGGCAATGATTGTACAATTTCTGGTGACTCTTTTCTTGTTTTTAATTGTGACTTCTTATAAGTTATTAGGAGTCCTGGTGTGGTGCTGTGAGTTAATGTGCCAGACTGCAAAGCCGTTTGAACTGCAAGGTCAGCAGTTCAAACTCACCAGCTGCTTCTTGAAAACCCTACACAGGGTCACTTTGGGTCGGAATCGACTCGATGGTACTTAACAACACAACAACAACATAAGTTATTAAGTGTCATTGAATCAGTTCTGCCTCATAGTAGCCCTGTATAGGGTTTCTATGGAGAGGCTGGTGAGTTTGAACTGTCAGCCTTGCAGTCCGGTGCTTATCTTACAGCGCCATACAAGTTGTTGTTGCTAGGTGGCATCGAGTCAGTACTGACTCATAGCGACCTTATGCACAGCAGAATGAAACACTGCCCAATCCTGGGCCAACTGATGCCATGCTTGAGTCCATCGATGGTGCCGCTTGGCCAATCCATCTTGGTGGGTTTTCCTCTTTTTCTCTGACCCTCCTCCACCTTAACCAAACATGACATCCTTCTCCAGCGACTGGTCCCTCCTGACAATATGTCCAAAGTAAATGGATCTATTGGTTCTTTTGGCAGCCTATGGAATTTTCAGTATTCTCCAAGTAGGTGTGTTTAAATGGTCACATAGAGCCACAGAGGCAGCAAGGCTCTGGCAGCTGTGCCAGTGGAGAAAAGAAATCAAGGGTTAAAAAAGTTGGATTTTTTTCCCCAGAGTTTTTGTTTGTGTGTTTATTCTGAGAGGGCATAGAGGAGAGATAAGGGGTGCATTTTTAAATCAGTTGGTCTGTGAGCTGGTCAGTGTGGTGGACACAGGACACCTCATAGAAAGAGCATACAAGGATGCAGAGGCAAAGAAGGAAGCACTGTGGAGTATAAAAAACAAAAGGGAAAAGGTATTTGGAGTGATAACACCATTTTTTCTGTTGTCTGTTTGACATTGATTGCAAGCAGAAGTTGAGATGAAGTTCCAGGACAGGAGGTATTCCTCAGGAGAAATAGACATGGCCACCTCTTACCTAAATGCATGCTCTCCAAAGACTCCAGAACCTTCTTAGCAAAGAAAGGGAAAATCAAAGTAAACTATTCTTGAGATTGTTTAAAAGGATGAAGAGCTAACAGAGATAGGAGGGGGTGAGCACATGATGGGCAACAGGGATGGAGATTCCAGTTTGTATATGTAAAATGCTGATCTCTTCATATGTTTATAGATAAAAATAGCTTGATTTCGTTGTAGTAAACTAGTAATAAACAAACCAGTGCCATACTTGAATACTAAAAAAGGAAAGAAAACTCGCTAACCTATAGAACTGCTATCTAACATGGTGACCACTGGCCTCATACAGCTCTCAGGCACGTGTTCGAATCTTTGCATTGCCAAGAACTTATGCCAAGTTGAAAGGTTTGTTGTTGTTGTTTTTGACGTAGATTTAAAAATATATATTATAATTTATGTGGTTTTTAAAATAGCATGTGAGAAGCACACAAATCACACCAGCTCTAAGATGAGTAAAAGATTAATAATTGGTAGTGGAGGGCCAAACTCACATCTGAGAAATTACCTTTTTAAAAATACCTCAGAAATGGCTGGTGAAAGGAGATGGGGATAAGACTCTTATGATTCAGTAGTGAATAGTTGTTATCATGACTGATTGCGATTGTTTCAAATGTAAACATAGAGGTTTTGTAGCAAAAGGGGGAGTGGCTTATCTTGCAGTCCTGGGGTGGAGGCAGAAGACCCTGGGACCATCAAGGGAGAAGAGTGGGATAGGAGTGTGGGTCCCTATTCAGAGAAGCAAGGATGCCAGAGATGGAGGCAAAGATGATGACGTTGAGAGATGAGTGGTTGGGGACTCTAAACTCATGGAGAGAGAAGGGCTGGCTGTGTGCTGGCAGCTGGGGGGCAGGCTTGCAAGGTATGCCCTTTTATTTGAATGATTGTATATTCCTTAGTGTTTTGATGTACATCCAAAAATAAAACAAAACAGGGAATAGAAGCAAATACTGTTGAATGATGATGCATGGAGGGGATTGTAATCATTGCAGTGAGGCAAAATACAATAGGATGAGTGAAAAACTGATGTTCTCCCATACAACCTATCCCTCAATTCACAATGAAAACGTACACAATTGAAAAGAAAAAGGAAAAAAAACCCAAAAACCCTAGAAATGAAATACACTAGCTACCATTTTCAGTCGCTAAAGCAGTTCGAGAGTTCTGATCTTTTGTTTTGGCAGAGCTTTTGATATTTGCCATTTCTGCTGTCCTCTGAATTTTGATTCTCTGTCTTTGATTTGTTGGCTAATAATTTCCAACCCATTGTTGTAGCTCATTTCCCTGAACTTCAGTCCCCAAGAAGACTAGAAAAAGAGGTTATTGGTAAGTCTTTAAGAATACTGTGGACTTCTGGTGTGGATCCACATTGCACTGCAAACTACAAGGTCAGCAATTCAAACCCACTAGCTACTCCTTGGAAAGGGTCATTAGGAGTTGGAGCTGACTCAGTGGCACTTAACAGCAACATCAAGAGTACTGTGAAGTAGTGTAGGGGAGTGTGCTATAGGAATTGGCAAGGTACATACCAACCCGGACTGGCAGACTTTCAAGAGGCGATTAATAGACTAACGCTGCCAGTTAGACCCTAGGGGAGAACAGCTAACTTTGAAGGTTAATCTTGTTTTTAACAATTTTTGAAATAATATGGAAATTTTAAATATACAGTTAGTAATGTGCCAAGTTTTTCCAGCAGCCTTACAATTAGGAAGATTAATGCGTACTGTTTCGTGATAGTGTAGATGTGACACCTAAGTTGTTAAGTGCTGTCAAGATTTTTTTTAAAATGCTGCTCCCAAATTCCCACTGTGGGGCATGAGAACAATATCATTTGTGGAATTATATCTTGTCAGGGTAAACACTGTAGACCGACACAAGCACACCCAGTAAGGTCATCAAGGTCATGAGGATTTCTGTTCACTGCCACCACATTCTTCTAATAGAGAAAACCTTCTAGGTGTCTCCCATAGAAACGCTAAAACACTTGTGTGTGGCACTGTGGATTAATGCACTGGACTGCGAAGTCGCTTTGGATTGCAAGGTTGCAGCTGCTCCTTGGAAACCCTGTACAGGGTCTCTATGAGTCGGAACCGACTCCACAGCACATAACCAACCAACGTTAGTTTGCTTGTTGGGATATATTCATTTTTGTTTCTGCTCAGACACACATGGAATTGCCATGAGTCCTTACTAATTAGATTTTTAAATAAGTGTTTTAATCTTTTTGGCTAACTGCTCAAAAGATTCTGTATTTATCTTTCAAGTAAACTAACTTTACTAATTAAAAAAAAAATCATTTTTCTTTAAGAAATGCTAGAATATCCCCATTTCCTAGTATCTCATTCATTCATTCATTTTTGGTTTATTTCTGATTATGTCTTCCACTTCTGTGTAGGTTTGGCTTAGGCACTGTTTTTGTCATGTGCTGTATAGGTTTTGGACTTAGCTATTATCAGGTTAATTAATACCCATTACCCAGGAATCCTGGTGTGGCCCTGTAGGGGGTGACAAAATGTGCCAGACAAGATCCCTGTCTTCAAGAGACTGGAAACTTTACTACCAAGTCGAATGTAAGATGAGCCAAATGGAAGTTACAAATAGAGAATGTCTAGAGTTCTGTGGCTGGAGAGATTGGTAGTGCAGGATGCTCTGAGAACCTATTTCTGATTTCTGTGAAACCAGTGGACAGAATTCTTGAAATGGTTAGGCTTGACAGACAGCCCAAGGGGAGAGCTTAAAATCTTAGCTACTAAGGCTCGACAACTGTTTAAGAATGAAAGATGTTTAATTTCATTTGTAGGGGCTCTAGTGATATAGTGGTTAAAGTGCTCACCTGCTAACCAGAGTGTTTGAAACCACTGGCCACTTCACAGGAAGGAGAAAGATATGGCAGTCTGCTTTTATCAGTATTGGAGACCCTGTGGAGCATTTCTGCTCTCTCCTGTAGGTTTGCTGTGAGTTTTTAGGTATGGTTGGCATTATAATGAGGGGCTTCAAAAAGTTCATGGAAAAGTTGGTCGTTTAATTCCATTTTTCCATGAACTTTTTGGCATCACCTCATATCTCCTGTCTTTACAGCCTCCTGATGTTACAAAGACATCCTCAAGATGGCATACCAACACTGTTTTTCATGCTTCTGGGCTTCATAACAATTTTCAATACACCTGCTCTGCCTCTGCTCTTAATGGGCCTTCGTGTGGCACTGTAGGATAATGCTGGACTGGAAACCGCAAGGTCTGCCCTTCAAACCGACCAGTCATTCTCGGAAGCCCTGCACAGTGTTGCTATGAGTCAGAACCGACTTGACAACACACAACAACATGCTTTTAATATTATTATTTGTTTTTTGCTCCTAGTTACATACAAAATGATTTTCCTCACCCTGTGCTTTGTCTTTAGATGGGCAGTGTCAAATCGCGAAATGCTCATTGCCCAGAACAGTTCCTTGGAATTTAAGCTACACAGACTGTATTTTATTAGCCTGTTAATGGGTGGAACTACAAATCAACGAGAGGCATTACAATATGCTAAAAATTTTCAGCCATTTGCCCTAAATCATCAAAAAGGTGAGACTGAACTCAGATATTTTCAGTGTTTACAACAAGAGTGTATATAGCTTCATCTTTTCCAGATCAAATATATTACTTACTAATAAACCAAAGCAATTGTAGGTGATAATCACTAACAAAAAAGTTCTGACTGGCTCTAGAACAAAAACCAAAACATTAAACTGTCTTAAATGAAAAGTCAGAAAGAGGCACTGCAGGTATCTGATTGTGCTGTTAAAACAAGGGGAGACAGGAGAAAGAGCCAGGTGAACACTTCCTCTTGTCCCACCTCTACCTTGTGTCATGATTCTGTTGTCAGAGTGGCAGCGACTACCTTTGAGTGTCAGTGTGTGGTCCACAGCCAAGGATATGTCACGGTTCCATTTATGACTTAATTGTTAACTCTTCTAGATAATGGGTATCATACTACTCTGAGTCAAAGGGTAAAAACTCTTAAGTTCAATATTTAGAACTTTCAACCTATACCTTTTTTAGTTTAGTTTTGTTTTTTTTTAAATTTAGGGTGGGGAAAGGAGTCAAACTTAAGGACCAGCACTTTAAAAGACATAACTAATGAATTCTTTTAGGTCGTATCAGTTGGGAGTGTATTTGTGTATGGTCTGCAAATGTGCCATTCACACCTGCTCAGTGCCCACCCTGTGTTGTTCAGACATTCAGGTTTTGATGGGGAGTCTTGTGTACCTGAAGCAAGGAATTGAGAACTCACCCTACGTTCACCTGCTTGATGCAAACCAGTGGGCTGACATCTGTGACATCTTCACACGCGATGCCTGTGCCCTCCTGGGGCTCTCTGTGGAGTCCCCTCTCAGTGTCAGGTATGGGAACTGACTCTCTCTTATAGAAACACTTGTATGTACTACAGTGGTCAACGCCTCTTCATCCACTTCTTGATGTTTAAAGCAGAGAGAACTTTTGTCATTCTGAGTTCCCAGAATGACAAAACTTACCCTGTGATATCATCTTGTGTCCTTCAAGGAAATCTATCAAAATTAACCCATTTGGGATCCTAAAAAGGGTCTGAGCAGACCTCTCTCTTGAATTTAACTGACCTGGCAGATTCCCTTGGAAGCCACTTTTGTGATTTAAACACCTTTGCTTGGAATAAACCCATGCATATTTGAACTGGAACCCTAGTTGCAATAGTTTCTTTGACTAACTCTCATACTGGCAGTTAAAAAAAATGTTGCTTTCACGTAACAAAACATTAAAAATTGCCACATTTTTATTAATATTCTAGTAAACATTTGCCTTTGACTACATTTTATCAGGGCTATAAACTAAACATGATGGTGTGTGATCTGTTTGGGAAAGAAATAGATAAAGGTGTTATGTCACATTGATTAAGTGAAAAATTCTGCAAAATGGTGTAAGCAGTAGTAATAGTGTTATCAGAACCTGTTGGAGGGGCCAGGAGGAGGCAGGAGGTGGAGATGACCAGGACCCTTCCAAATCTGATTCCTGTCAGGTAGAGGTCAGACAGTTCCACTCTCCAACCTCTTTTCCGATTACCAGCCACCCCTCCCACAGCATTCTGCTTCTATGCTGGAGTCCGTGTCTGTTACAATGGCCACATAGAACTCACAGACCCCATTTATAGTATAGCAGTTTAATAATTAGTAACAGGGTACAATTTGGAATTCAGATCAACAGGCCAACAGGCTACATACAACTCAGGATCAGGAAACATGCAGGCAAAGTCTCTCTTCTTCAGTGCGAGACAGTGGTCTTAGCTTCTCTTTCCCCCCTCTTGGAAGACTCTCAGGTTCTTTCTTGCTTGGCCCTGCTGTCTGTCATTCCTGACCACCATCGTGCCCCCTCTGAAACTGGCTATTTTCAGTGTTACAGCCCTTAACCATGTTTCCCTCTCTTCTAGGAGGTTCCTCACCTCCTCTCTGCTTCTTTTCTTTCTTTTTTCTTCTCTTTCTGCTTATTTCTGTCACTAAAACAGCCCTAGGGTTGTCAATTTCAAGGCATGATCCCCCCCATGGGTGTGGGTGGGTGCACTAGAAATTTACTACAGACAGTAATTTGCATATTGTATTGACTAATCAGGGGCAGGGTACAGCCCAGGTCCAGACAAAACGCAGAAAGGCACCTAAAGGAACTCGTTCCACCATAAATTCTCTTTCCCTTTCAAATTTGATGTTCAAACCCATCAGATTTGGGAAAACCATAGTTACTTCCCATTCTTTCATGTGCAATCTCATGTTTTATTCCTCTTTTCCTTAACTGGTGGATCTTCTGTCTTCATATCAGATGCCAGAGCTTTGCCCTTTATGTAGAGAGCTGTTTGTTTTTCTCTAATTATTGAGCAGTTGAGCTTTAATTAAGTACCATATTGGAAAAATGATAGAAATGACGCTTGCATTTTGGTGAGTGTGTTTCTGGTGTAAAGCCATACTTAAATACTAATTATTTAACTTAATGTTTTTATTAAGAAATGCCAGTATAATTTTCCCCATATTGATGAGGTTTATGTAGTAGATTTTTAAAAGTTAGATTTTTTTTTTTTAAAGAAAAAAGATATGAATTGTTTTTTAGTAGCTGCAGGAAACATACCAGTGGGCCTGGGCAGGAAAGGAAAAAACCAAGTTAATTTTCTTGTAATGGAAATGACTGGATTTGCTTTTGGCAAAACGAGACTCTGTGCTCTGCCCAGTGGTCAGGGTCCTCAACCTGCAGAGTCTAGAGTAACTCACATGTCCTTGGACCAAATGGTTTGACACCTGCTCTAGCACTAACATTTCTTCTGCTTTCCCAGTTTCTCAGCAGGTTGTGTAGCGCTGCCAGCTTTGATTAATATCAAAGCCGTCATCGAACAGAGGCAGTGCACTGGAGTTTGGAACCAGAAAGATGAATTACCTGTGAGTTCAATTTCCTATTGCCTACTCACTTTCCTGCTGTTAGAGAAATCGTGAGTGGTAGGGGTTTATAATACCCATCTTGTTTTTTAACCAGGAAACAGTGACTTGATTTCTTGTATATACAAAAACATGGTTTTTTGACATGGTTTATTGTATATACAAGGGGACTTCAAAAAGTTTGGATCAAATCCATTATCTTTGCTATGACCTTTTTGAAACCCTGTATATGTGCACACACATACATGCATGCCCCAAAATTATTGGCCATTGAGTTGATTCCAACTCATGGTGACTTGCGTGTATGTCAGAGTAAAACTGTGCTCCCGGAAATTTTCAGAGTTTGATGTTTCACAAGTAGAACACCATGCCTTTCTTCCCAGATACCTCTGGGTGGACTCAAACCCCAAGCCTTTGTTTAGCAGCCAAGCATACTGACTGTCTACATCTTCCAGTGACAGATGGGACTTCAGAAGTTTGTGGGAAACTGGAATTAAAAGATAAATGGAATTTTTCCATGAATTTTTTTAAAGCTCCCTCATATATGGACGAGGAAGCTTTGGTAGCATAGTGGGTTAAGTGTAGTGCTGCTAACTTCAAGGTCAGCATTTTGAAACTATCAGCCTCTCTGAGGGAAAAAGATGAGGCTTTTTGCTCTCACAAAGATTTACAGCCTCAGAAACACTCTATGTAGGGTTGCTGTGAGTTGAAACTGACTTAACAGCATGCAGCAGCGTACATGGGCAAGATTAAGCAATAGAAATGGGAAGCCTATTATATTTTAGAGGCACTAAAGGAATTTTCTTCAAGTAGCTGTGAATGCTAATGAAGGAAATATACTTGGGAAGGGTTTTAAATGCTGTAGATTGCAGTGTGTACTACAGTGTCCCCATTCGACTTGTATTATGGTAATTTAAAAACAAAAATACAATGAGACAGTTGAATCAGATTTAGTTTGTCTTTTGAGATAATGAATTTGCACTAGTTATATTTTTGTATTACCAATCAAAATAAAGGCCTAAGTGTAAAAATTAAGATTTTGGTGCCAGAAAACATCAGGCGGCTACTTGTGTGTGGCCACTGCAGTGATGGAAAGGACTGATAACAACTCCAGGCACTCGCGAACTCTTAACTTCTCTAGACCACAGTTTGTTCCTCTTTAAAATGGGGGTCGTGCTTCTCTTTTTGTGGCTGTTGAAAGATAGATTCTTTAGGTATATTTAAAAGTAATACAGGACGCATAGTAGGTGCTTTGTACATTGTGACTGGCATAGTATGGCTATGACATGGAATGGCAAAGGTATGTTAAAATTCTGCATTTCCACCAGGTGTCTCTGACAGCAGATACTAAAACTCCTGCCTGGAATTACTGTTCTTGACAAGGTTGTGCATTTGGCTTTTTGTTTTTTTGCTGCCACACCTGTGCACAGGTTTGTCTGTAATTACCTTGTTCTTCCAGGTGGTAACCCTGTCAGTTAGCTGCCCCAACTTCTCCTCGGAAATCTTTTTTGATTAAAAGTGCAGATGTGTTCCCAGTCCTGCGTGTGGTCAGGACAACTGTGAATTTGAGCAAGTGAACAAAACTCGAGCTTTAACTTCACTGAGGCAGGTGCCTACAAGAGTCTGGCACCTTCCCAATTAATGCTTTGAGCATCTTTGACACCTGCACACCAGAACAGAGCAGACTAAAGTCTGAATTTGCCTAAAGCTTGCCTGTCAGGCTCATAAAGCACTTGGAGGTGATGATCTGGCCTGATGATCTTTTCTCAGGATTATTGTTCCACTTGGTCAGTTTTCTTAAAAGACTTTGGGTAATGGACTTCCATATCTGTAACCATTTTAGTTGTGGAAGAAAGAACAGACCTAGAATTGACATTTGTGGGGGCTCTGTCATGCACCAGTCATGGTATTTTGTTTGCTGCAAAGGGAAGCAACTTCTATAAGTACCACGTGGGTAGTTCTGCTGGGGAGAATTGTGAAAGTTTCTTCTGAAGCGTTAGCTAAAGTCATTATTCCAAGTAAATTCTCTGGACCATTACATAGGAAACCGTGGTCTGAAGCTCGCATAGAAGTAAACCGTATACAGTCTGACTAAAAGGAATTATTACACTGAATTTTATCATTTAGCTAAATGTGCAACCAGTCAGACGCCTCCAGTGGGTTTTGTGCATAGATGTATATTGACTAATTTTTACTGCTACAGCATTGCCTTTTGAATCGAAAACTCAGACATCAGAATTTGGTTTGAAAAGCAATGCTACGAATAATTTTGAATCATGAAATAGTTACACTTGAATCCCTAACTTAACCATCTTTAGAGCTTGTTGTTGTTAAATACCGCAAGTCAACTCATTTGCAGTCCTGTATCAGGTTTCCTAAGTTGTGCATCTTTGCTGGAGCAGAAAACCTCATCTTTCTCCCATGGAGTAGGTGGTGGGCTCAAACTACCAATCTTGGGGTTTGCAGTCTAGTGCTTATTTTTTAGAGAGCCACTTCGCTCCATTGAGTTAGAGTGCTGTATAGTTTACTCAGGTAAGTAGATTTGATAAATGCTCTTTGCTACCATGCGAATGGCTTCCTGAAATATAACTTTAGCCCTTTTTTTTTTTTTTTTAAACAGATTGAAGTGGACCTTGGTAAAAAGTGCTGGTATCACTCAATATTTGCTTGTCCCATTCTTCGTCAACAAACAACAGATAACAACCCACCCATGAAATTGGTCTGTGGTCATATTATTTCGAGAGATGCCCTGAATAAAATGTTTAATGGTAGCAAGTAAGTGTATGAGTTGAAATGTTACTAACAACTTTTCTTTTAGAACTTTGTGGAAAGATAAAAAATAACAAGAATAATTAAGTGTAGTTGGATTTAGAGTAAATAGATTGCTTAACTATTCTTTTGGCATAGTGGGTTGAATCTGATTTTTTGGTCAGTCTTTCTGATCTATTCCTGGATTTGAATGTTAGATTTTATAAGCATGATCTTGTTTTTTACCATATTATGTTGGAAGCCATATTATGTTGAGATTTATTTAACCACTTGCCTATTGATGAGCTTTTATATTATTGCCCATTGTTTGTAACTATAAACAGTGCTAAACTTTGTCTGTTCTTGATGCATAAATTCATAAAATTAGAATAGTTAATTCTGAGAAATGTACATATGTAGTTTTTATAAGTAATAAGTTCAATTTTAAAAAAGTTTCAGAAGTCTGTATCTAGCTTAGGCAGCTAGGGAATTTGCTGTTTACTTTAGACTGTCTTATGGTAAGTAAGGGCCTTTTATTGGCAGCCCATGCCTGGTTGGTTAACAAAGCTGCCTGTACCCTTCTTGGTGTGGGCTTGGTATTTGCCCATATTTGCTGTCCTAGAGTGGACTGTGACTAGTACATTTGAAACTGATACAATCTAAGCTAAAGGACTTTGCAGTTCAGGATCTGGCTTGGGTAGTATTTATTTGTGACCTCTCAAGAGCCTGGTAATTACATTAAAAGGAAGGCACAGTTAATTCTTAAAATACAGACATACAGACGGTGAGTGGGTATGTGTGAAAATGTTAAGGATATTCTATAAGTAGATGAAAGTTTAATGCTTGGCACTGAGCCTGTTGCTTTCTTGATTCAGTGTTTTTTGTTTTTCTTGTCTTTAGATTAAAGTGTCCATATTGTCCAATGGAACAAAGTCCAGGAGATGCCAAACAGATATTTTTCTGAAGAAATAACTTTAGTTTGCAATTTGTAAGTGAAACTGAATTATGGGCGCATTTCAGAAGAGAATGTTCCATTTAATGCAGCTAACCAAGGACTCCCGTGTTTATATAAGCTAATGCTCCAGAAACTTTGCCAACACTTTAGTCAACACACACTGAGGGGGTGCTCCAGATGAATCTTATCATAGGGCTTTATTATATTCTTGGTCTTCATTTCTGATCAAGTAAATACACCAGCACTTGTCATTCAATGCAGGTTTTTATACTTAATTACATGGTAATTTTTTTACTTTTTAAGAGCAGAAACAGAAATTGACCCTCCCCACCATGTGTTCAATATTTCTCCTGCTTTCACTTTTCGTCATGTTCTTGATCATTGTAAGCTTTGAGAACATTTGTGAAAGTTTTATTTCTGTGATGTGTACATAATTAAATGAAAATTCTTCAGATAAAAAGGAATTGTGGTTCTAAAACTAATTTGCATTTTTCTTTACTTAAGGAAGAAAGCTGTGATAGATTCCAAATTTGCTTTTTGGTGTTTTCCTCTGCTCCAGCTCTCACTGAGACACCGGCACCGCCTGCATTTGCGCTCTCTCTGTAGCCCCTGTTTACCATTTCATCATGAATTTGGCAGGCTGAGGTGACAAGTCTTCCGCTGTAACAGAGTGGAATGAGTACCATTGTTTCTTTGCTTTTATTGCCAAGAGGTGTTTGTTTTTAAAGTGTGTTCAATAAAATGACATTCTGAAGTTAGAAGTGTTCTTAAGTTGCTATTTGCTCTCTTGGTCTTGGTAGCATTGCCCTCTGAATCTGCATTTTGTATATCATTGCAGACACAGTGTTGTGCCTGTGCGTGTATGTATATGTGCACCAGCATTAAACATTGTGTACCTGGAAAGGAAGGCGCATGTTCCAGTCCTAAAATGCAGTTACCACTTTCATGACTTAAATTCTTCAAGCTAGTCAATTTTCTGTAGTGCTGACTCTGTCATTGCTGTTTTTGTGTTTGAATATTATGCTGTTAAATTCAATGCCTCGCTTCTGCAAAGTTATCATCTCATTAACTGTGAATCTGTATATTGTTCTAATGGATACAGATAATGATCTTTTCTTCTGTGAGGTATGTTCATTTAATGCACTGTCCAGAAATAGCCATGTGTAAGATGTAAGAGTGTTTCTCTGTCTGATGAACTACCCAGAGAAGACTTCTGTGGACTTAATTCTGACTTAAATCCACGAGGTTACTTCATTGTGAGGAGAACCGTATATGGAAATCACCAAATATTTTGAAACTTTATTTCATCTGACACTGAATGGAACATCAACATAGAAAAACTTTTGTGGGAAATTGAAAAAAAGAAGAAAACACAGAAACAAAGAGAAGTTGACAAGTCATATTTTAAACTATAGCTTGACTTAATTTGGGGCAGGGAGTACACAGATTTGGTGCTAAGTTCATTGGAAATTGGCAGCATTTACAAGAATTTACCAGCCTGGATAGTTTATCCTTGAAATGTTTGCTTGAAAGAGTTGGGATTTGTTTGTCAGAGAAAAGGTACTGCAGAAAGCACTGCTTAATAACTGTGTGTGGCCAGACTTACATCGAGGGCTGCTGTGTGCTGTGGGTGAGCCAGAAATTGTGATTGGCCTGCTTCCCAGTGCTGGGCTGTGCCCAGCCTCAGCCTGACCCCACAGTGACTTTTGCCCCATGTTTCTGCTCTACAACCTTATAGAGCCTTCTATAAAGTTCTCGTTTTCTCCACTGAAGCAGTGTAGGAAGAGAGCAGAGAGAGAAGCTCCTTAATCTCTGAAAGACAAAGTGGAGAATTCCAGGCAATACCCTGGTTGGTTGTATAAAACCTGGTTTATTTTATATATACATATATATGGATATAATTTTTTTTCCCCTTTAAATTAAAACCCAGAGTGTCATCTTAGTTTTCAACTTTCCCTATGCTACATTTATCTTTATTCTCATTTTATCACTTCAAACACCTACACAACGTTTAGCATTCATGTCAGGTTTGAATAATACAGGCCTTGCTTTAAGATCGAGGCTAGTGGCAAACATTTTCAGGGCCAGACACTTAACAAAGTTTGCTCAGGCCACTTCCAAAGACAAACACCAGAGCTGTTTTACACTTCTCTCCAAATGTTGGGAAGCCTGTCAATAGTTTTCTGTGTCACTCATGAAACCCATTTTAACTGAAGCATTTAATTTCATAGCTGTTTCTACAAGGTACCTGTTGTCCAGTCAGACAGGGTTAGGGCCAACAAAGTTGAAATTCTGTTGATCTGACACGATGGAAAATTAGGCCATTTTGCCTTTATCTAAGGGCATGAGCTTAAAATTCATTGGAAACTAAATGAGAAGGAGAGAGCGATTTGAAGAGGCCAGACCTTAACCAAAGATGCTGAAATACAACTTCCTGCTCTAGAAACACCTTAGCAGATGCTGTTGGGCCATGTCATCTCTGAGGCTCCTTCAGCTTTGGGGGGTGTGTGTGTGTGTGCTACATGTCTCCTCCTGCCTCCATTTGGGAAAGGTAAATGATAACAGCCAAGGTGTTTTACAGTCAGCTGCCTAGAATAACAGTGTGCATTGCAAGCAATTACGGAATGGCTCCTGACATTTCTTTGGGAACTGTTTCGGTGTATCAGTTGTGAACAAATGCCACGGGACTAAACCATTAAAACTTACTTGTCAACTCCTAGATTCTGACTTATCCAAAACATTTGCATTTTCAAGTACAATCTTAAGTACTGCGGCTAGATTGTCTGTCTTATCTTTTTCTCTGTGTGCTGATCACAGATGCAATTTATGTTGTTAAAATGGTGATTATTTGAAATTTCTATACATAAATGAACGGGTATTGGTGCCTCTTAATTTTGAAAATTTTAAAGAAAGGGCCACCTCATATTCATAGGATGTGTGAGTATTTTGTGAGTGTGTGAGCATTTAACTGAAAATAAGAACCTTATGAAGTAAGTCTTTTGTTTTTTCAGCAGCAGCTAATGTGTACAGATGCTAAACCCCACCCTGAATTGTGGGGAAAGAGGATCCTTTTTTCTCTGTATGTGGTCCCACAGGCTACGCAGTGTTAGGTCAGCGTTCTATATGATGTGAGTCATTTCCACCTCTGCTTTCCTCCATGGGACAGTGGATATTGCAAAAACCAAGAACTCTCGGTTATCCGCACAAGACAAACAGCTGCTGGTAGACTTCATTTAGCCCTCTGGTTTTCCAGCTCAACTGCTGATTAAGTGGACTGACAAGCCGAGCTGGTCAGTCTGCTTAGTCAGCCGACTCAGGTTATTTTCAGGGAAGGTGTGGAGGCCTGGTTTGGTTAGTTCATCACTTGGATGTGTAAAGTGAAGACACAAACCAAATACCTTTCATTACTGAACTCTATGTACATTATCTTTGGTAACACTAGAGTGCTGTGGGCTCAAGAGATTGTTAACAAGGAACACACAGAAGGTTGATACTTCAGACCAGCTGTGGCAGGTTTTATGTGGTACGTACCATGAATAGTGTTTGCCATAAACAGGTACAAGCTTCATGAACTGTTCTTACTGAACTATAGTTGAATAGATACCAAAAAAAACAACAAAAAAGGCAGAATGACAAATGCATTTTTAAGAGCAGTTGAGGCACAATTAGTTTTAGGTTGGTTTTTACTTCAAGACCATAGTAAGAGAAACAAAAGTTTTGTTTCCGTGACGTTTTCCCCTACGATTTGGAGCTGTACTGGGAATATGCTTCAGTTAGCTCCAAAGAGGCAAACGCAGCTGGAGTTGGCATAGAGCACATGCTTTGTTTCATGTTGTGGGTGAGTACCCACACACTTACCTTAGGGTCACTTAATGCCCTCCAACAAGGCAGAGTGAGGTTCACTAGGATTTTGTGCCTGATCTTTTCTTTTTGAGAGGGGTGGGACTGAATGTATGGGGAGGGGCTGGAAGCAGGAGAAGAAAGGGGAGCGTGTGTGCGTGTGTGAATGTCTCCATTGCCCCGCCTGTGTCTGGGGAGGACCTGGTGTGTAATGCATTTTGCTCATGACTGCAGTGTGCATGTTTTCCCCCCACTCTTCTTGTGGTTTCTAAATGTGCTCTAAAAGGATTCATCAAATCATCTTCTTCAGATGGCTCAGGATTGTATTTCTTTTTGCTTATCCTGTGTTCTTGGTTCTATAGTATTTCTATAATTATGTAACAAGATAGTGTTGCACTGTAATCTATCGTATAGAGCTATATGTATGGAAAACTTTGATCAGTTTTTTTTTTTTTAATGTATCCTGTTTGCGAAGGCACAATAAAGTTGCATTGTAGAGACGATAGGCAATAAAGCTAACAATAAACCTTATTTAATGCAAATCATATCCATATTCTCTGTTCATTTGATTTGTCTAAAAAGTCTAACATAGCCAGTCAGGGATTTCGTCTTAACTTTAAAAAATTCTGATATATTTAATTTTTTGATTGCAAACTGACACAATACAGTTTTGGGGAAACTGTAAGAAATACTTTGTTTAATCTGTGTATTCATATGTAAAGCACATGGCTTTTGCTGTATATATTTTTTAAAATTAAAGGAATCAGCATTTAAAATACTTTGTGGACCCAGTCTGTGTAAATATGCCAGGTGACAGAAGTGTAGGAAGGAGGATCGGGCTGCTTGTTAAGTGACTCATAGCGACCCTGAACAGGTTTCCAGGGAGCAGCTGGTGTTTGAATCACTGACCTTGTGGTTCCCAGGCCAGTGCTGATTCTACAGCTGCACACATCAGGAGACCAGTACAACTTGGAAAGAGAGAATTGTGGCTACATGCAAAAAATTTAAGTAAGTTATCAGTGTCACTGTCATTTCCTGGTTCTGGGCTACTAGCAGGGTGAGAAGAGGTGGCAGCTGGGCACCATCATAAGTCGGTGATTGCAGTCATTGTTCCCATGCTGCTGTTCCCTCAACGCCCATCCCGTGGACAGCCAAGACGCTGTTCTGTTTACCTGACTATATGAGGTGGGCAGAAGAGCCTATGAACAGTTCCCTGCCCAAGCTGCTGGGGACAGGGCAGGCCCAGCAATGCTGGAGAGGAGCAGGCTGAATTGTAGTGTTAACCAATGATAGAAACCAAGAATTTGTTCCCTTTTGTATAACTCTCTAGACAAAGACTCATCCTTTTCTGTGATTCTAGAATATTTCCTACCTATGGGAACTGGAAACCTGGTGTTGCACTTTGGGTTAATGCACTGGACTGCAAGGTTGGCGCTTCAAACTCACCAGCCGCTCCTTGGAAACAGTATACAGGGTCGTAGACCCAACTTGATGGCACTTAACAACAACAACTAAAGTGGGAACTGGCATGGGTCCTCAACATGAGTCCCATCCAGTTCACAGTTGAAGGTAAATGTCCAGTTGGTATAGAAGAGGTCTGGGAAGCTCATGAGAAAACTTTTATTATCAGATATCTAAGACCTGTGGTCTCAAGAAGAATTAAATTCTATTCAATGTGCTATGAACCTTATTTTAGAAGAGTTCTTAGAAAATCTTATGTTTTGAAGCCTCCATCCAGGTAGTCAAAACTTATGTTTTTAATATGGTAAAATGACTTTATATCTTCTCACCAAAACAAGGAAGGATAAACATCAACATGCAAAATAATGCTTGTTTGTTTTTTTTATAATGGCAAAATAGGGACTAATAATGTACCTTGAAACA